AAAGAGGGACGGGACGGAGTGAAGGAAAATCCATAACACAAATACAGCTGTCAGAAGCAATGCAGAGTTAGCAGGGGACACAATGACCGATGAGAGCTTTTTCATGAAGATGCTCTACTTGAACACAACAGGCGTCCTCGTGGTTTCCACACACAACACTGCTCTGGTGTTTTTCAGCTTCTACTGGCCATGTCATGACCTCTGCCTGGCTGTTCCACTGACCTCGTGATCCTGTGTGACTCTTTCTGTCTCTGAAATCAAACTTCTCCTCGTGTCGTGCTTCAAAAGTCTACCCTCAGTCCCCCAGACTCCACAGCCCTTTGCTGCAAGCTCCAGCTCTCTGCTGGAGCCATGGCCTCAGGTGCCAAGCACGCTCTGATCTAATGCTTCCTCAGTGATAATGACACCCACCTGAAACCCTTGCACTGTCGTTTGCCTGGCTTCATATAGCCTTTCACTCATATGTTCTACAGTATCTCCCTCTCTGTCCCTCTCTTGCGTTCCTTCTCCCCTCCACCCGCCCATAGGAAACAGTCTTTTCCGCTCTGAGCTATTGGGTCACTCCTTTCCACATCCATCAGCTGTTAATGGGCCGGTGCTCTGTGGAGATGAAGAAACATCTCAGCGCCGGCCTGCCTCCCAGCCACCACTCTCACACACAGAGAAACTCATCTGAAGTGCACAGACATGTTAATGACCACGGGCTAAACCACCGCGCCAGGCCAAGTGATTAGCTTATCAATCAGAGGGCGAAAAGTGCGTAAATTTTAGAGAAGCAAGGTGGGCCTGCGAGTAGGCGTGCGATGACAGCTCGTTGAAAAGGCACAACAGGCCAAAGGAAAGGCAGCAAAAGATGACGACAGGTGGTCAGCCTCCAGGAGACGACTTTTGGCTTTCCTCGACTGTCCTGCAACTTTACTGCGCCACATCACCTTCCCACCCATCACAAAAACCAAAACCCCATCTTTGAAAAAAATGTATAACATGCACACATGGACAGACGGACATACACGCACAGAGGTATTCAAGCACCTAACCTCTCCTAAGTAACAGGTTCAATCAGAACCACATGTACAATCAGGTCTCAGACTAAAGCAAAACATTCACAACCAGCAGAGTCCACCGTGCACGGTAACATTTAATCCACTCATTTCAGTGACATTACTTGAACTATTTTTTAAAAACAATAACAAACTGTAATTGCTCGTGTAATGCATCAGACGTGTAGGCTTTTATCATATTTAGTGTCACTGAGCGGAACAGTTTTATTCCACAAAAATCAATGATACACTACATGGAATTTTGTTTCCTGTTAACCAATAATTACACAGTTGTTACATCACGTAAAATATCCTGCTTCCACATTCACAAGCCCATCACACATTTTCAGTTCAAATGTGCACACCCTGCAATAACGGCAGCTTCAGAAATAACTCTCATAACACTTGAAATAATTCCATTTAAAAACATGCTATCGCTCCCTGCACATTTTTTATTTTTTTTTATTTTTTTTGCTTTTCTCAAACCCCATCTAAAGGGTATTGAAAATTTAACTATTTCTGCTTTTAATGTACTAAGTGCTGCAATAGAAGTAAACCTGTGAGCATCTGTCGTGGGTCAAACTCTACATGTATGGCAGTGTCGTATACGGGTGCTCTTCAGCATCACTTTGGAGCCAAAAGCCCACTCAGACTTGTGGGTTTGGGATATCAGGAGGGCTTTAATACAGAGATGGAGAGACGGACAGGCGAGCCATCCGTGCTACCGACGCACAGGACATTTAAAACTTCAAACACTGCCCATTTTCACTGAAGCAGGACAGGTGAATTGAGAAAAAAAGCACTCTCACGTAGAAACACTCCCGTACTCAGATATATACACTGTTCTACACATGCATTCCCATGTGCTCATGCCGAGGGTAAGGACTCTCTCAGCGAGTTTATGGACTAACATAATCATATTGGTGGCTTTTAATCCAGCTGAAGGAGTTTTAAAGCGGATGAGATCCAATGCCATTACTGCCTGTCTCTAGACGGTCTCATACAAGGCTCCAAGTCCCATCACAGGACCGAGCTGCAAAACACGATTTAAGCAGTGTGTCAGTGGGCTAAACAGAAACGGAGGCTGAAACCCATGGAAATCAGCAGCGACTCTTACAAACAGTGAAACAAAACAGGACAAGGGAAAGACACAGCTGTCCAGAGCAGGGGGAAAAGGCAAAAAGAGTGTGGAAGGAAGTCAGATGAGGCAAACACACTCGGCCACCCAACAGCCCACAGAAAGCAGGGATAGTCAGTCAGCCTCTGACACCTCTGGCTTCCTGCACACACTCGCTTCTGTTCCCAAATAACTATACTTCTGCCTCTCAAATGCTCTTTTTGTTTCATTGTCTCCTATTATAGTTTCATGTAAAGGCTGTCACTGATGTGATGGCCTATCACACAGCACTAGACAGAAACTTTACAGCGATTTTACACTGTTGGTAAATGTAGCAGTGTTTAAATAGAAGTTTAAATTGTGATCATTTTAAATGTAAAATTACAGATAAATAAATTAATCTGCAGTTTGTTGGAACCTGAAACATGAAAAACGAGACATCTGAGCCTTCACAGGACCAAATCGGTAATAAACAACCTGAAAGAACCGAGATAAATCATAATTTTAATAACGGAAGTAAATATGACAAAAAATATTTTTGGCACATTTTAAGAAACATTTTAGAGACATTTCTCATATAAACACAAGTATGTAGAAAATATTTATCTAAGATTTGGGGGATAAACTATTTGAACACCCTTTAATATTATACAGCTGATAAAATACATCCAGCCTCTTAAGCCCAGAGCGAAATGATCAAATTAAACTGTGTTAAAATTCGGCTCTAAATTCGACTTTTTAATTAAAGAGCAACAAGAGGCCACTGTGCATTACAAATATTATTAACATATAAGCTCCTTACAGGTGAAATCAACTCTTTTTTTGCATTCACTTTGCAGCAGCAGCTCCGAGCCACCACAAAATACCTGCTTTCCTGCGTGACACCGGAAATGTGACAAGGTCGTAAAACGTGATGAAGAGCTTTTTCATTCCCGCTGGATCTTCTATTAAAGTGCAATTAAAAGTGTGTCATCGCGTCGCGGAAATGCCACCACAGAGGACAGGGGGAGACACAGAGGACACAGTAAATAAAATTAATTATGCCAAATGCCCCGGCGCCCATCAATCACGGGGCAATAATGCTCGTGTCAGGGTGTGCACCCACACGGCCGTGTATGCTTTTCTCTCAGTGACAGACAACTAACAGCAATTAGTTGTCATTTCATCTCTCTCCCTTTGTGTGAACTGAAACATTAACTCATTCTACATGTATGTGTGTGTGTGTGTGTGTGTGTGTGTTTGCAGCTTGACATCATGCGGGCAGAGTCCATCTGACATGCGGGAATGTTCTGGCTGACGCCTCATATTTCCTGACAGGAGAAAAGAACAACAGCAACTTTTTTTGCCAAACACCCAAGTTGATGCTACAGTGTTATATAACGTCAAACCTGTTCATCTCACTATAATATATAAACTATATATATATATACACACACAGGTCCGGTAGGAAGATTTTCTTTAAGGCTACTCGAAGAAGATTTTGTTCCCGTTGTGGTGCAGGCCAACTTTCAGGCGGTTTCTGACTATAAAAATAGGGAAGGAACACGAGCCATGCAGAGACTTTAACCCCTGTTTCTAATTTTAAAATATTGTCTACATCGGCTTTAAATGGGAATACATTTAATATTTTATATTTTGGTATCAAAAAGATATGAACTCGCGTATTTTTCTCTTGTAATCAGTGTAATTTCAAACGATCCCGGGTATGATCAGTGTTGACACTGTTGATTTGATCCTTTTAATATTTAGGTGGAGTCAAAATTGATCAGGCATGAACAACTTTCCTCCCTCTGCGAAGACATTCGTCTGCATATTTCTGTTTAATCCGACAAGATCACATGGAAAATACAAGAGACGCATCAAAAGTCAATGAGGTCCCACAACAATGGCTCCAATTTGAAAAGTCAAAATCATTTGTCCCCTGACCTACTGACTACACGTCCACTAGAAATCATTTCAAAATCTTTGCTAAGACCAGGGGTCTATCGTGTTTAGGGAGGATTGTGAAGCCCCTTTTATAATTTTGAACGGTATTGTTTAATTGCCAGAAACGACATTCAGCTTTCCAAAACCCAGAGAATATTTAACAACTGGGGGAGAATCAGGTAGAAAGCCAGGGCAAAGCACTCAAACAATTCTCAGGCGGGCTGTGGAAAATGATCGCCACACGACCTGTGTTAGTGTTTATGACCAAATCCCTTAATAAGGATTATTAACAGGGACGCGAAGGCAAACTCTGTTGCCTCCACTCGACAGTCCCAACCTGCGAGGAAAACTTTTTGTTGTCTCATGAGCGAAGACTTCGGACATCGAGACTTTCTGTAAGCACTGGCCATCCGGTTCCACGGAACTATGCTTTGATAAATGCTAAGAGGCCAAATAAATTACACCATCCCATTAAAATGATTGTATGTTTCAAAACGGGATTCTTAATCTGTAAATAAACGCGTGCTAAAGTGGCAAAGAGGTGGACGAAACCGATTCCAACGCGGATTTTAGTTTTGTTGAAGAAACGGAAAAGTTGAAGACAACGACTTCAAAGAGGAATTTAAAACGTGGCTAAGTTTCGCAGTCAACATGCCAGAACAGACTCAAAGTTAAAGTGAAACAGTCGGAGGAAAGTCTGAAAGAGGACTACGAGTGTGACCCCGCCGTATAATACGGCGCATTATATTAATAGTCTGACTTGGAGGACTTTGACAAACAATGTGCGATGCAAAGTTGAAGTTCGATGTGTTTTTTGGCTTTTCGTAGAGAATAATGTGTGTATGAGAGAGTTGCAGTGGAAGCACAGAGAGTGAGGAAGGTAAAAGGGGAAAGGAACGTGTAGATAATGCATCAACCTGTTCTCTTGGTTTCTGAAGAAGTCAACTTTCACGCCAGTGGTTGGACCATGTGGACAGCCCCGCTTCTGCTCCTCAAACCTCCGGCGCGTCCACTCTCTCACGGCGACAAAGGGGGACACAAACCGAAGAGACGGGGGGAAAAATTTCAAAACAAAAATTGAAAGAAAGAGAGGAGAGAGAGGGAAATCTAGGATCTAAGATCGCAGGACCATTACTTTCAACGACAAAGCGTGCTCGTTAGTCCTTTCCTTTTCCCTTTTGTGTGCGTCCTCTCTCCTCGAAGTGGCCCCTCTGGAGTGAAGTCAGAACAATACTGCCGCTAAAACTCTGGCACTGTGCGCAAGTTGCCGCGGAGAATGAGCGTCTTGTTGTGTTGCGTCCGCTTCCCCCGCGATTCAAGAGGCTTATTCAGCGTGTATAACCTCTCCAGCGGTCCTCACTTTTTGGCATCTCGTCTGTTGCTTGCTCGTTCGCTGGAAATCAGGGTTGAATCACTAGTGCAGGGTGTGTGTGTGTGTGTGTGTACGAGTGTGGAGTGTGTGTGTTGCGAGGGGACAGTTTGCCGCGTTACCGTAATGCCTGTAAAGCAGGTGCGCGTTTTCATCGCTGCCCTATCCTCGCAAAGCGCACAATAGGAAAACAGCAGCCGGTGAGAGTTATCTCTCTCCATCTCTCTCCCTCCCACTGTGTGTGTGTGTGTGTGTGTGTGTGTGTGTGTGAATGAGGGGAAGGCACTGATCTTTTGACCTCTCTTTGCATCCCGGCTGAGTTGTGCTATTGTGGAGGCAGAGAGGAACAGATGTTAGCCTGCACAGAGTTTGAGCTCAGAAACCGTCAGAGACTGAGCACAATCACCCAAACAGAAACTAGTCGACTTTTAAACACTTGGCATTTCATTTTGCATTTCACTGGTACTTTTACACTTACTGATAAAAAAAAAAACCTTAAATTGACCTTAATACATCAGACACACGTTCACAAGGAGCATATACACCAAAATAAATTACTTAATTTCTTAAAAATACTTTTCTGCTCCTGATAGACCTTTTTGTGATAACTTTCATCTTTTTTAATACTGCATGAAAGCCTGTATTGATTTCAGCCAGATAGATTTAAGACATGGTGTTTTCTACAAATAAAAAGTGTAAAATCAGTTTAAGTGCGCTCACTCCTGTTACTTGCAAATAGGCAGTTATATTGTGATTGGACAAGTTTTACAATCTGTCTACCTCACTATGTCCTTTATGTATTTTGGGAGCTTGACAACTCCTTTTGCAGAGTTATTAACTCTTTTTTTCCCCTTTGCACCCATATTCATTTACTAATTGACAGCATAATCAGTGTTGAGATGACTGACTCCGGTGAAATTTGTGAATTACATCATACCTGTCACTGCAAAAAAAAAAAAAGGGGGGGGGGAGGGGGTGCCATAACTCATAAGACAATCTTGAAATAATTTTGCTGTGGCCATTAAGTGGGATTCTGCCCTCCTGGCTTTTCTCTTATTAAAGCTTTTAACCCATGGAAAATGATGGCAGTCCACCACAGTGGTACCCAACAATGCGCCACAACTGCAGTAAATCACAATGCATTCATTAACATGATCAATACCACTACAAATATGTCTGTTTGTGTGCATGCAAATGTTTGGGTGTCTTGTTTCACTGACTCACCTCAAGCACGCTTTCTTATGTGTCATCTCCTGAGAAGTGCTGGGCACCAATGCAGATGGTGATGAGTGATGCTTTGCTAAACGACTGCTATGATGAGCTCTCACTTTCAAGTCTGATCTACAAAAATCATACCCTATTGTTAAATAAAAGTTTATACCTGAACCCCAGCAGGTGTGTGTGTGAGGTGACTTTAACCAGCCTGCATTCTATAATTGAAAACATGTGAGAAGCACAATACAGAGCAAAGGGGCTGAATCATTCTTCTGCTTGTTGTTGTGTAACTGTTGGCATTTTGACTAAAGCTATCAATCACCCCCGCCTGTTTGCAGAATTATCATTATCATTTGTTTGTTGTTTGTTTTGACTCATGGTTATGTAAAAAAAATAAAATCACAGGGTTAAACACAGCACAGGAAGCTCAGAGGGATTCTGTGTTCTGCAATCTGAGTGGGGTCCAGACTGAAGTGGGCCAAATATGAAGCCAGATCAAAACAGAGCAAGCCTGGACATCTTAAGTCAACACCTTCATTCTTGTTCTTAGTGAAAGGAGGAAAAATACTGTTTGGCCCTTTCACCCGTCTCCTGTTCCCATTTAGGAGCCCTCCACTCCCTGTTAATCAGGGGGAATAATTATCAAAGTGGACAGGTAATTAAATTAAAACATAAGTGGGTACATGAGCTGAGTTGGCTGTACTACAAGGTTTTCCTTGGCTTAATTAAAGAGAAATATGGGAGTGTTCACCCACAGTGTCACAGAGCTGGTAAAAACGAGGGAAAAAAGCTCCTACCACAAACTGGAATAACTCAACCTGACCCGTTCGACACACGATTTTAAAGCGATAAAAAACAAAAGGGGTGATTCTTGGCTGTGTATACATGTGGGGGAAAATTCTTCATCCCCGCTCATTCCTGACCAAATCAGTTCCACAGACTGTGTTGTTTGTTTGCATTTGAGAGCAAAAGCATATGTGCGGCTGCAAGCGTGAGGCTAGGGAGTGCACAATGTGTGCTAGACGCATTAGAGAACTACCAGCTTTAGCAGGCATCTGGGAGTAATATCGTAAAATAAAGCTACAATAAAATAAATCTCGCTGCTGTTGATGTTTACAAACAGCCCCTACAAAATACCCACAGTGCTTTAAGAGTCAAACTGAAATGGAGACCTCAAACACACACACACACACACACACACACACACACACACACAAACATATATACAAATAAACAGACCCAGAGCAGGAATACAGTGTGCAGACCAAATTATCCAAACATTCAAAAAACATGCTCATATGTGCCCACACCCACTTTGGTGCACATATAAGTGTGCATGTTTACAAATAAAGACTAAGTGGGAAGGCTGCATATACACACTCAGATAAACAAACACATGCATACTCTGTGGTTATGCAATGACAACAGCAGAATGTGCCTGAGAAACACCACTGCTGTCTCAGGGCTGCTTGCGCGACAATAAAAATGGCTGAGTGTGCCCAGGCAAAGCTTCTCCACGTCTCCCGTGGTTCTGTACCTGCAAACAGTGTGCGGTTTTGAGTGTGTGTTCACGTGGCCTAGGTGGAAACAGTGGCATCTGCATTAGTTTCTGAATATCCACTGATTGCTGGGAGGATTACAACCAACCACCACCTGCTTTCTATTAGCCACTCATAAACATGTTTACTGTCACAGCTGCTCCACATCACATAACCACACACTCACATAGTGAAGTGAACAGAGAGGGGAAGACATGTTAAGAAAATGTGTTTATCACTGCTCTCTCTTTGTCTTGGCCTTTAGTTGGAAGGGAATAATTAGGGAGCCCCAGCCAAGGCAGTAGTGTATGTGTTAACAAGCTGTTTTAACACACTCTCACACACTTTCTTCCCATATGCAGGGACAGCCAGACACACTGAGAGAGGATCTCATTCTATGCTTCAGTGACGTACTTCATTTTAAACCACTTGTGACCCAGCAGTCGAGTCCAGGAACGAAGTCTCCAACCGGATCGGTGTGTAAATCTGACAGGTACACGCATCAGCGAGGTGCCAAAACAAAGAAAAAGGCCGTCTGTGAAGAGTTGAACAAATAAGTGAGGGAAGCTTGTCATCTGCAGACGGTGAAAACATTGTTCTTGTTGAAAGAAAACCGTCACTATAAAATAAAGAGACTTTCTTTGCATAAGAAATGGAAGAAACGTCTGAAATGTTTTGTTCGTTTTCTAAAGTTCTGGCAATAAAGCAACTTAATATCAAGCACATCTGAGACAGTGACACACAAAAATGCACGTGCATACGTTCCCACATGTACAGCAGGCCTACGGTTCTTCATCACAGCACATTACACGCTGACTTGTGGAGGAGGGACGGAAAATGTTGACTAATCTTTAAAATGCACACGATTAGCATTTTTGTGCAGAGTGAGAGTCGGTGAACAAATTTTCAACTGGAGTGGATGAATGAGAGAGAGGAGTGGGATGTGTGTTGGATAAGGAGCAGGTGCACAGTAAACATCACTGGGTCAAAATGAAAATATGGGTGGTAGCAAACTGATCTCGACTGTGCTTTTAAACCTGCATGCATTGGTGGATGATAAGTACATTTACTCAGATACTTGATACTTTAAGTATCTTGAATACTACATAGTTTGAATTCAGGACTTTTGCTGATAACTGAGTATTTTTATAATGCTGTTTAACCACATTCACTTAATAAATATAAGATCTTAAGATTTCTGATGAGAACCTTAGTCAGAGAGCTTGGTGTCACTCGTGACCAGATACCAACAACCACGTGAAGTGTGTGTGATTCATCTCGGTTTTCCAAGCTGAGAAATACTGCTATTCTTAGATCTATGGTATTTCAAATTGAGATGGAGATGATATTTCATGCTTCTGTTTCATCCTGTCTAGATTATCGTAACTCTATCTGTGTTAGCAAAACATTTCTGGATCATTTATAAGTGGCCCAGAATGCAGCTGCTAAGCTCTTGACCAGGTCATCAAAGAGGTCTCACTGTAGTGCCAACCCTGATGTCTTTGCACTTGCTCCCCATTAAATTCAGAAATAAAATCCAAGACTATTGGATTGGAGCTGTGCATGCTCATGCACAGGTCCGCATTACAGATCTGCTGCATCCTTATGTCACTAGCAGGTCTCTGAGGTTTTCTCATCAGGGTTTGTTCAATGTTCCTCACTCCAGACTCAAAACTAAAGGAGACTGTGCCTTTAAAATCATGGCTCCTAAACTCTGGAACTGTCTCTTGTTGGACTGCAGACACATATCAAGATCCATTGTTTTCAACTGGCCTTGAAGAAGCATTTCTATTTTATCAGTTGATGTGTCTCTATTTGCTTTGTCTCTTTTATTGTGAAGCACTTTGTGCCGTCTGATTGAGAAAGGTGCTAAATGAATAAAGTTAAGCTACTGATTATTATTTGTTACTGACAAGTAATATCATGTGTAGGCTTTGCAGATTTGAAAATCACATGCTCTTGCTTTTGTACAGCAATACAGCAGGGTGAGCTTACTGCATCTAACACTTGGTTAACGTAGCCATATTTTATTTTCATATAAATAATACTACCACTGAGTCTAAACAACCCACTGTCGCTGGGTGCAGTTAGCCCAGTGCTGTACTGATCCACACTGGGTCACATTAGGCCCAGTGATTTTTAGCGTGCAATGGCATGAGCCAGACACAACAGACCTGTGCTGCTGTCCATGTGTGTCCGTGTGTTTAGGTGTAACCTAATACAAGGCGTTTAGGGAATCTCCCTGAAATCCTATCCCTTCATCTGCTCACGTGCAGGACATACAAAACATACAGTGAAAGAGACACATGCATTTGCAGAGCCTTCCAGTCCCTCCCTCGGTGCGATCTTGTATCAAAGCAAACAAATGACATGCTGTCTTCTCCTCTCTCCCCCCACTGTCTTTTTTGATGTGTGCTTGTGTAAAATGACACGCC